CCGAAAGCATTCATGTTTCTTCAAGCAGCTCTCAACATGCAGAAGGATATGTCATTCCTGAGAGAAAAACACTCATCCCTATTGATAGATTGGAAGTGGTTAGTGAACTTATGGTCGATTTTGAAAATTTGAAAGCAAATGGGTTTGATTTGTTTCCGGCTGTAGAGTTTCAAAGGTGGCAAAATTTCTTTGATCGTCTAGTTGGACCAGTGTTCCCTCATCTTGTCAAGGAATTCTGGATTCATGCCATTGCTTCACCAAAGGTCATTCTATCATTCGTCATGGGCAAAGAGATTTCCATCACTGAGAATCTCATAAGGAGGCTTCTAGGCTTTGAAGGAAATGGTGTTAATGGAATCTCAAGTGGAAGAATGGATATGTCCAAAGTTTATGCTGAGATTTTTACTAATGGGAAAGCATCCAACAAGGTCAAAGATTTGAAGAACAAATATAAAATTTGGGCAAGAATTATTCATGGTTGCATTCATCATAGGAAGGAAACCAATTCTCCTGACTACATCAATGCTGACCAACAATATCTTCTGTTCTGTCTTGGCACAAACGTGAAGATTGATCTGCCCTGTCTTGGCAATGACTCTGTATCACCAACCTTCTGATCAAGCTACCTCTGAGAAAATGCCAACTCTTCTGATTTATTTTGGCACCCTCCTCTCCAATGTTGTAGGCCTGGCTATGCTACTTCTGCTCCAAAGGTTGTATCTTCTGAAGCTGCTTCAACATTTGCTCCCTCTTCACTGGTGATTGACACTCTGAATGAGCTGAAGAAGGAAAATGAAGCCATCCATGAACGTCTGGACAAACAAGATGAAACCAACAAGGAAATCAGAACTAGGATGATGAAACAAGAGGAATCCTCAAATGAAATCAAGAATCTTCTTCTTTCTCTTCTCTCTCGTCAATCTTAGTTTTAATTTCTTTTTCCAATTTCCTTGTTGTTTTTGTTTTGTACCTCTGTCTTTTGAATCTTCAATATAGAAATATTTTGAATCTCTTTATTTTTTTCTTTTTGATTATGACAAAAAGGGGGAGAAAATATGATTTTGATCTGATCCATGAAAAAAGTTATGGGACTAAGTCTCAAACATTCCTAACAAAATACAAAGTTCTTTTTTGTTTAAGAGATATGCAGGTACCTACAGACTCTGAAAGACTAAGAAACATCATCTGGAAAAGATCTGCTTAAGAAACTCTGAAGAAAAGATTAGGAGCTCTTAAAGAAACTCTGAAAGAAAAATGTCTCAAAGCTCTGAAAAACAAATCTCAGGAAGTTTCCCTTATGCTTTTAAATTCTTTGATTATTTTTTTTCACAAGAAGAAATGTCTATCTCAGGGGGAGATTATAAATCTCAGGGGGAGATTCTCACTCTAGCATAAAATTTTTTCTTAATCAAAATCTAAATTGTTTTGTCATCATCAAAAGGGGGAGATTGTTAGAACAAAGTTTGGTTCTAATCATATCTTAGAGTTTTGATGATAACAATGAAATAAATTTTGTAAAATATATTTTATACTCTGATGTGTATGTTCTGACTCATGCAACTCAAGAGAGAAACATCATTCTGCACAAGTCTAAAGCAAACTCTGAAGGAAGTACTCCAAGGCAAACTCTGATGAAAAGCAATCTTAAGCAACCTCTGATAAAGCTAGCTGAAGCAAAGATTTGAAAGAAGCATGCTGGAAGCAACATCTGATAATGCAAGCTGAAGCAAACTCTGATGAACATAAATTGAAGAAAACTCTGAGATAAGAAAAGATAAAGCAAACTATGAAGTGGAAACAATGCAAGAAAACTCTTAAACTTCCAGAGACAAGCTTTGACAGTACCGTTGGTCATTTAATGCTAAGACGGATAACGCACTCAAGTGGTACTACACATGAGAACATTGGAAACATAGAGACCAAGCTAACACGCATCATTAATACATATACTCTCTTCAAGGCAGTAACGGTCAAGACTGGAAGCTATATATAGAAGATCATTTGTTTCAAACAAATGTTACTGATCCACGAGAAACATACTAAAGCTCACTGTTTTCATTCTTGTAAAATAATAGTATATAGTGGGTAATTCTTAAGTATTGAGCAATAATCTTAGTGATAAATCACAGTTTGTGATACAGCTTATTAGAAGCATTCTGATTCACTACTGTTAAGAGATAATTTTTGTAAGTGTTCCTTGAGAGACCTGTTGGGTCAGATTTCTCAAGAGGGCTAGGACTAGTTGAGTCTTAGAGGTGTTAGTCACTTGCAGTTGGCTTGTGCATTGTGTTGTTAGTCACAACAGTTTGGTTGTGCATTTATAATCAGTTTGATTATAGTGGATTAAGTCCTTGTTGAGAGAGGCAAAATCACCTTGGCGGGTGGACTGAAGTAGTTTGAGTTTCAAACGAACCAGGATAAAAATACTTGTGTCTTTCCATTAGTATTGCGCGAGAAAAAGGAAAAACTTATTCAACCCCCCCCCCCCCCCCCCCCTATTCTAAGTGTTTTCTCACCCTTCAAAATCCTTTCTTGGCATGCTTTTTTTACAGTAAATGCAATCCCCTCAATGGACATTATACCAAGCGTGACCTCTTGCCTATTTTCCTCAAAACAAACAGTGGCATAAGCATATTGAACACTTGAAAGTGAAGTGGTAGCAAGGATACAGACAAATAAGCCATCCAAATGTGCATCCAAATCAACCAAAAAATATACACATGTTGAGAATTAACTGAATTGTTGTACTTTTCGACATCTTTAGTGCACTCCATGGTACACTTGCAATTGTACCATATTCATGCCAAGACCTTTTTAATTTTCCAAAGTATGTAATCACATAGCCACCATTTTAATTAGTAGAAATTATATCACAATATAACTTATAAGTCCTTGATGCATCTTGGTTGACTAAATACGCTTCTTTTACGGTGTCCTATATTTCCTTTACTATAACCAAATGAATGATGATAGATCTAATATCTTTTGTGATTGAGTCAAGAAGCCATAAATAGACCAAACAATGTTCCCCTACCCATGTTTTGTATGCCTCTGATTCTTTATCTTTTTGTGCGACCTTTGTTCCAGAGACATAGCCCCAACGATTTTTTGCCGCACATCTTATTATTTGTGTTTAACAACCATTTGTGGTAGTTGGAGTCGTCAGGTTGTTCATGTGTAAGTATAAAAGAAAGATATTGGATGTAACGTATCTTTCTAGAATATAGTTTCTCTTTATTGGAATATTCCATCAGAGAAAAGAAAAACTCAAAGAAATCAAAGTAATTGGTTCATATATTATATAGGAGATTTTGGTTGGTTGTGATGATACAATGTAAAAAAGGTTTCAAAGAAACTTTCTAATGTATTATTGTTGATTCAAGTGTGAGATTTTAAGTCTCACGTCGACTATAAGTTTTGGAAATGTTGGATATATAAGAGAGGTGACCCATACCCCCATTTCCTTAAGGTTTTTAATGGATATGTGGTGTCAAAGTCCCTTGGACCCTAAACGTTTAGTTCATTAATACTCCAACCACTCACACAACTCTCCAACAAGTGGTATCAGATCCATGGTTTTTCTTAGTAAGGGGAAGTGGAAGTGAGTTCCTAGTATGAATTAAGACTAGTAATTTCGGTGACTCACCATTGTAGGAGAGATTGTTGATTTAAGTGTGAGTGGTTAAGTTCCACATCGGCTAGAAATTGAGGACATTTTGGATATATATAAGAGAGGTGATCGATACTCAATTGCCTTAAGGTTTTGGGTGGATATGTGGTGTCATGATATTTTGGATGCTAAACGTTTAGTCCATTGACACTTTCGACGCTCCTCGGACTCTCCAACAAGGTTTTGGTGTTTATGTGGTATCAAGGTCTCTTGATCCTGAACATTTAGACCATTGACACTTCCGGTGCTCATTAGACTCCTCAACAAGTGGTATCAGAGTCATGGTTAAACTCGGTGGTGGAGAGGGAGTAGAATTCTAGGTGGATTATGGATAATGGTGTTGAGTGACTTACACTTATTGGGGAGATTGTTGAATTCAAGTGTTATGGTTAAGTCCCACATCGATTAGAAATAAAGATTGAAGATTGTTCAATTCAAGTGTGGATTGTTAAGGATACATACACTGATTGCTTTAAATTTTTTTATAGATATCTGATGTCAAGATCTCTTGAATCTGAAATGTTTAGCCCATTGACACTTTTGGTTCTCCCTGAACTTCCCAACAATTATTTTATTCACTATGCATAAACTTATATACAACTTCTCTTCCTTATATCTCTCTTTGATAATAGGAGATTTTAAAAACAAAAAATAATCATAGATATACAAATCAATTAATACTAAAAATAATTCTTTTCTAGGGCTAATAATATTTGACTTATTTCAACATTTATTACTTTAAACACAAACATAATAAATAAAAGTTTTTTTATTACAAATAATTAATATGATACAAGTTTTAAGTTTAATTATAAAATCATTGAACTCTAGGGCTTGAACAATAACCTCTCGCTGACACTAGAGTCCATCTGATAGTCATAAATTTAATATGACCATCATACTTTTCTGTATAGAATGTGATTTTATGAATGGTTAACAACATTGTCAAGTGTTATTACGTTGAATATCTCCACATCTCCTTTTTCGATTATCTTCCAAATTGATGTGATGGTGCATAAGTATTTGTTTGGATCGCTTATGAGATTTAGGCTCCTTAGCTTGAGAAATGACACCATTGTTATCACAATACTAAAAACTATACCAAGTTTAATAATAAACTTTTTGATCCAAACAATCTCTTTTACTGCATTTGAGACAATAATATTCTCAGACTAAAGTGGTAGAATCAACTATATTTTTGTGCTTTGAACTCTTCCAACCCACAACACCGACATTTTAAAAAATACAATCCAATTGGGATCCGAAGTCATCTTCAGAAACCGGTTGCAAAGATCTTTTTATTGAAAGACCTTTTTTTCTTTCTAATTTGCTAATGATTGTATGGAGAAGCTTGTTGAATCCTATTTTTTCTCTTCTGTAGAAACCTTTGCAAAGATGTTTTCATTGAAAGAGCAGGACCAGGTCCAGGGCTATACAATTGATGTGGAGACTGTACTATTGCTGATGTTGATGGCTCTGATCCTGTTGATATCTTAACTGTTTCGTGTTCTTTTTTATTTGCCATCATTAAGATTGATTTGGCCTGCACAACATGCACAATAACCCATTCATTATACTGACATATTATTAAAGTCAAATTAGTAACAAAGTCTATGAAGTCTAAATTTGAAGTTTGTTAGAAACTTTGCTTTAAACAAAAAGCAAACAAAATTGACAACATATGCTTCACATCAAAGTTGAAAATATGAATCAAATCAAACACATAATTTACAAGAAGAAAATGACCAGAGATATATATATATTATCTTCAAAAAACAAAATGATCACAAAGAACCATATCATCTTCAAAAACAAATTCCAATGAAAAGCCAAACATAAAATAAAAAATATATAAATAAAATTACCTGAAACTCAGTGACATCAGTAACACACATCTTGCCATCGTAGAAAATGGTCAGTGGCCGTTGCTGATTTTGCATTGAACTCATCCGATCACTATCTTTTTTTTCTTCAACCCTTTAATTAAGGTAAAATATAACAAAGAATTAATTCAATAACTAAATGTAAAAACAAAACAATAAATTAAATCAAAAAAAAGGAAAACATAAAAAACAAAATTACTTACATGTGATTGTTGTGATTGTGATAGCTATCAGAAACATATTGAGGGAAAAGGCAGAGTTCTAAGTTGCAATTCCTCCTCAT